GCAGGCAGGGGTAGTGTGATAGTATGATAGTCAGATAAACATTATATACTTGTTCCTACAAACACACACCAAAATCTACATCCCACACCCTATATTCGACCTTGGGTTTGGGAAGGGGGTGCTAATGCACTTTCAGGAAAGTCTTTGGGCAGAGAGTTTGAATTCTCAATTTGTTGGTTTGACTGCGACGGCACGGTATTGCTACAAGGGCTGCTGCTGCTACTGCTACTTGCTGCCACTGCTGCTGCAACCGCCACTGCCATTTTTGCTATTACTCGTTGTATTGGTGACGTCACTTTCGTCGCTTGCCATGGTCTCGCTGCATGCCTTTTGACAAGGGTTACTGCTGTTGTCAAAAACCCTAAACCCCTAAACCCTAAACCCTAATGCCGTTGTTTCCCCATTTGATCCTGAAGCCAAGCACTGATGAGGGATCTGAAAGCATCCTCAGGGCATCTTCCGTACCCCGACGCCATCGCCATCTTCTCCTCCGGCACGGCCCTCAGCTTTTCGGGTTGGGGATGCTGGGACGTGGGCTTTCATGCTTTGGGGAATGTTTGCGGGGTTAAGGGCTTTGAGCAGCAAGAGCAGCATCAACACCAGCAGCAACAACCGCAACAAGAGCTGAAACGGCAGAAGCAGCTGCTGCAGCAACAGTTTCAAAACCCTGTGCTGATTCCCCAAAGTCCACAGCAGGAAGCCCAAATGCCGAACAGCGGAGCAAAGTGGCATACTGCGAGAGACTGAGGCTGCCCCGTCGACGAACACCGTCTACGAGCAGGTACTGGCTAAGGTTAGGTTCAGGGGCTGTGAATATGTGTTCGTGTTTGCGCAGGTTTCATTGGGTTGTAGAGGGTTGTGATGGGCTCCAGATTTCCCCCAAACCACGTCTAAATATTAAAGCCCCTTGTTCTTATACGATGATATACTATGATATACTGGACTATACTGTCAGGGCAAAATACTCCAAATATGCTGGGCCCCCATGTTACCATCAACTTTCTGAAACGCGCAGGAGGCACCGGAGGAGGCTGAGAACGAAGTGCGGGAGTGGCTACGGGGCTTGGACTCTGGGAAAGGAGCCCTCGCCCCTTGGGCCAGATTGGTCGGTGCTTTCTGGAGTTTTTTAGGCTCTAAACCCTAAACCCCGAATTCTGGAACTGCAATTAGAAGGGTTTGGGGCATATTTTACCAAAATCAGAGTGCGGAGGCCCCAAAATAGTAGAGTAAGGCTCCTATAGTTATTTTTTGTGGGGCTTTGATTATTATGAACAGCAGCTCGAACCTTAAACCCTTTTCCCTGAACCCTAAACCTGTCGGTCCCAGGTGATCTACACCAAGGCGATCACTGAGGAGCTGGGTGTGTCTTGTAGGGCTTTAAGGTTTAGGGGTGTGGGCTGTTGGGATTTTGGGGCCTGAAGGGTTTTTGGGTGTTGGGCTGCTTTTGTCTGGAAGGTTCGGGTGGGTGGGAGGGGGCTTTGGCATTTTGCCGTGACCGGGGTTTGCAGCGGCAAGGGCCTGGTCGTCCAAGAACCTTTTTGAATTTGTCGTGCATATGCTGGGGTTCATGGTTTGGAGACCGTCTTCGGTGCTTTCCCGCGCCCCCTAGAAAAGTTCTTCGAGAGAGAGCAGCCCAGGGCCCCTGAGATTGAGTGGCTGATACCAATGCCCGTGAATTCGTGGGTGCAGATGAGATGCCAAAAAAAGCATGAATATCGAACGCTTGTCGAACTTAGTTTCGAGACTGAACCGTCAACCCCCAACCTTAAGCCCCATAAACCGTACCGCTCGTCGCGAGACAAGGTCCGGTAACAAAAAAGAGCTTAAAGCCCCGAATCGCAGCCCTAAACCCTAAGCCCTCCATCTCACCACACCTCGGAGGAGTTCGGAGGAGTTCAGGCACTTGCAGCCTGTGGTGTGGGCTGCACTTACGATGCTGTGATATAGAAGCCGGGATAATCACCAATGTTTTTCCTCAAGGGTCCGTGTTATAACTCTTCCATAAGAATTACACCAAAACCCAATTCTAACTGCTAAGGCCACTCTATTCGCGGCGTTAGGGGTCTGGAGTCTGCTGCGTGTTCCGGTTCTAACCCGAAGACCACAAGTTTACCCCTGGAGCCATTGTATTACATTGTAGTATTGTGGGTCCGCAGCATGGTCTGCAGCCATGTGGAATGTTGCCGAGCTTCAGGTTCTGGATGATTTTTTGGGCCTCCTTGACAAGCGCAAATTTAGCAACACCACAGTGTCTGAGGTGTATCAGGATGCCTCGGATGAGGTCGGGTGGCGGGAAGGATGGGCGCCGGGGCTCCGCAAATCCGGAGAACAATCAGAAATACAGCCAGAAACTGAATCGCGAACTCCGGCCTAAACCCTAAACCCTAATGAGCTCAAGATCCCAGAAGCCTACGGAAGCCGAAATGGCGAACAAAGCCTCCTAAGCCCTAAACCCTTAACTCTCTAAACCCCTAAGCCCAGAACTCTGATACCCTCCATCCTAAACCTTCGTAGTAATTAGTAATTAGTAATTAGTAATTAGTAATTAGTAATTAGTAATTAGTAATTAGTAATTAGTAATTAGTAATAGTAATTAGTAATTAGTAATTAGTAATAGTAATAGTAATAGTAATAGTAATAGTAATAGTAATAGTAATAGTAATAGTAATAATAATAATCATAACCCAGAAGCCCAGGCATCCTCCCCGAGCATCCAAAGGGCTCTGTCATCGGCCGTGCCTTGGAATGCGCTTGGGGGCCGGGGTTGAGGATTCGGGCTTTCGGGGTTTTAGGGGTTTAGGGGCGTGAAGGCTTAGGGATTCGGGATTTACGGCCTTTTGAGGGTTATTGTGTTTAGGATGGACCTCCCTCGTATATTTTACACTATAGAACCACAGAGGGCCCAAGTCTGATTTTTGAGGCTTCTACTGTTTATTTTAGTAGGGGCCTAAATTACCAACGCTATTTTGGGAGCTCCTTGTTATAACTATGGCATAACAGGTCCCCAAACCCTGTTCTAATTATTAAGGGCCCCTATACTATGTTAGAGGTTGAGGGTTCATGCTGGAGCTTGTGGTCTTCCTCCCCGGACGAAGGGCCTTAACTTTTTGCTGAAGTTATTGGCACCCTGTTCATCTTACCATTCGTTAGTAGGGAATGGAGGAATGGGGTACAATTATAACTACTATTGATTACTACCATTCTTCCATTCCCTACTAACCAAAGGTAAGTCATGCCAGACCTGTAGCTGAAACCACTGCGAGCCGCTTTGGGAGTTTAGGGGTTAATATCGGGGGCCTTAATCGTTCAAAGCGTGCTTTGGGGCCCATCAAACTATTCACCACCACCATAGTATAGGTAATTTCTACGGCAACCTAGAATTCGAAAAGTTTGGTGGTTTTTGAAGCCTCTGATGAGGCATCGAGCAGTCCCTGTGGGAGGCCCTGGACGTGAAGTCCCTTGGACATAGGCCGGGACTTGCGGTCCTTCTATTTTGGGGGTTCCTTGTCACAAGTAGAGTATCATGGGCCCCAAAGCCCTATTCTAATTATTAAGGCACCCAATACAGAACCCTACTAATTATAGATCCCTTATAGAACCTTTTAGGGATCCCTTTAAAGGAACCCCTATTCTAATTATTAAGGCCCCTAAGTTCTGACGATAATCCCAGAGCTTCTAGTGAAACTCACTGCTTCTGAAGAAACGACGACCCTTGCGAGTGCGACGATGAAGGCGACGACAGCAGCCATTACAAATGGCTACTGCAGCTGCCTTTTTCCTGCTCCGTTTCTCTCGAATTACTAATAATGCCACTCTCGCGAACTGTTTTCGTAGTTGTTCCATGGCTTTATGCGGATTCATCCTGGAAGCATTGTTTCTTGGTTTTGACTTGGTCTTAGGGCCTTGGGGCATCAACGCTCCGCTTTCGTCGGATTACGCACAGTTTCGGTCTTCCCATGCTTTGGTCTCTTAATCTCGGCATGTTGTTTAGATTCCCCTTCCCGCCAGCAACCGTCGCATGTCATGCAGGCTGCTGCTTGCGAAAGGGATCCTCAAGCTGGAATAACGTCGAAAAGCTGACGACGTTTTGCAGCAGATGTTTATTGTGCGTAGGCTGTGGTGGTTGCATGTGATGATATCAGATCCTCGACGGATGCTGCCATTGCCCGGGGCTCCTTAAGGTTTTGTGACTGCGGCTGCCGCATTTAGCTCTGCCGAGACTAGGTCGTTCTGATTTCAGAGCTCCCCAAGGACTAGTGCTCTTTCAAGAAGGTTGTGTTGGCATCCTTTGGAGGTTCAGAGTTTGAGGTTTCAAGCTTTGGAGGACAGCAGGTAGGATGGCAAGCTGAGCTCCGTGATTGCACTGTGAAGTCTTCCTCCCGGCCACAGCCTGTAATACTGTAGCACCGTAGAAAGCTTGGCATGAAGACGGTTCAGAAGGCCAGGGTCGGGATCCTGACCCCAAACCCTAGGCCGAATCCTGGATGTCCAGTAAAGGGCCGGGGAGGAATTCTTCTTCAACTGCCGGGTAGGTCTGGATATGTGTTCAGGGCTTTAAGCTGCTTATGGTTGCATTCATGCTGTTGCATTCATAATGGCATTCCACGTCGGCGGGCCGCGTGCTCCCGGGCTTTGTGCCGCCGGTTCGAGGTTGAGAGGAAACCATGAATGACGTCCTCATTCCACGGTGTCTATAAGGCATACCTTAAAGCCACTTCGAGCATGGTCATGACTTATTTTGGGGATTCCCGTTTGCCCCGTACCCTGGGAAGAGGCAGCGATGGAAGTCTACCTTTCCGGCGAGATGCCGTACATCACAGGATTTGAGCTTCACGGAACCCGGTTCCTTTTAATTTAGGCTCTTCGCATAAATACCATACCACTTATCGTAGCCCTCATAGATCGCTTTCAGATTCACCGAATCCCAACCCCCAGAGCTACCCTCGAGCAAGGATAGCCCTGTATCTGGAAGCCTTCCCGTTGCGCCCCAGCTGTGAGCCATGGCTGCTGCAGGCCCGTTGTCCTGCTGCCTAACTGCATGCAACGCTGAGGGTCGTTCAGGTTTTTTGTTTAGGCTTCCGACTTGTGCTACGTGTAAGTAGCTAAGTTAATCGGGGCTGGTACCTGCAACCTCACTTACAGCTTGCCCTTTATATGTCCCCTTCTGCGCTAAGCCGTCAGCCTACCAAGGCCCTGAACCCTAAACCCTATCGGTTTTTCAATCCTGAAGCAAGATTCCATCTCTGACCCAGCCGTTACCATAATCTGCTGCTCCAGAGCTCGATGTTGTTATCTAGGAGACTCGGGGGGTCTGACTAGTTGGTAATCACGTGACACGTGCCTTGTAGTCGCATATAGATGTAACCATAATAGACTAACGGGGTTCCTTTTCAGAACTCTAGCATCACATACTCCACAGTTTTAGGGTTTAGGGTTTAGGGTTCAGGGTTTCCTGTTCTTTCAATACAAACCCTACACCCGAATCCCTTTGGCCGATGTTCTCTGCTAGGCAGTGGCGGGCCCAAACCTGGAGGAGGCGTCCACGATTTCTGCAACTTATTCAATGGGGTTCCCGAAACAGTCACAGGTGGTTTCCTCTACTATACCCCCCCTACCAGAGCCACTTAAGACTATGTTGGGGGATGGCTCTCGCCAAGCCCTCAATCCTGCAAGCCTACAGCAGGGCTCCTGGGCCTTGGGTTTGTGGGTTGAGTTGTCCGCTTAAAGCTTCAGGACGTTGGCGGGGCCTCATGCTTTAAGGTTTAGGCTTTGGGGCTTTAGGGTTCAGGGAGAGGGATCCGGGATGAGAGCTTCACAGCTTCGGCTTCGGGGGTTTGAGCCTATCACTGTGTTTGATTCTATGAGTAGAAGCCGCTAGAGTGAAGCCTTTCGGGAACTCGAGGTCGCACTTCAGGCTTCGGACTACATCTTAAACCGTAAACTCGACAAATAGAAGTTGACAAAATGAGCCTGGGGCCACTTGTAAGTCTAAATGCAAAGCCTTCATGCCCCAAACTCATCCTGTCTAGATTTGGGGATCTCAATCTAACGGTGGTATTGCAAAGATACCGGAAAGCCCCAAACCCAAACCTTGAACCCCAAAGCCCAACCTTACACGCCAAGATCCCAAAACTCCGCAAACCTAAAATCCTGAAGCCCTAAACCCTGAAACTTAACCTCAAAAGACGAATATCAGCAGCAAGGAAGCAGGAAGCCTCTCGCCCAGAGGTGAAGCCCTCGTCAGCTTTGTGACGAAGCTGCCAGATGCATTCCAGGCAGGAGGACAGTCTTACTGTAGAGAAGCCTAAGCAACTACCATTATCATCCCGCAGGGTTCCCTCGTATTACATGCTACTGAGTACTGCCGCTGCTTGTGAACCCTAAACCCTGGACATCAAACCGCCGCTACCTGCTACGATGCTACGTTATCAGATGGTGGACTTCGGCTTCCGAAAGCGCCTGTTCTTCGGTGTGGACAGCAGCCCATTTGAGCCGTATCGCTCGATGCGGGGCTTCCTAAAGTTCGAGAATTTCGCATCATGTTTACGCTTTATCGTGGTTTAAAGTCTTAGTTTCTCGAAACTCGGATGCAACTTCACGTGGTGGGCAGAACTCCCCAGACCTCATGCAATTGTTTCGGGCCGGGTGTGGCTTAGACAGCCAGAGTTCGACGAAATGTGTCCGACTCACAAAGTGATGCAGGTACCTGAGGAGGAGCTGGTGGTGCCATCGAACCTTGAGCGATACGGCCTGTCCGAGGCAGCCGCAGGGATTGCCAACTACCAGCAACAATCAGCATCTGATTTTGCTCTTCGGGTAACTCTGCACGGAGAAAGACTATGACCCGATGTGTTGGCGATGACAGCTACTGAAGCTTGGGTACCATTGTGGTGATGGTGGTGGTGGTGGTGTTGACGATGGATGACGGTAGGAGAGGCGGGGACGAGGATGATGACTGCAGTGCAAAGCCCCGATATCGTCAGCAAGGAGAGCTGGGCCGGGGTGGGGTGCAACAAGCTCATTGCACAGTTGCGCAGGGCGGCAGGTGAGGGCTTGATAAGCAGACAGGCCGTTTCGGCTCTACAGTGAACTTAAACTGACTGTGCGATTCCGTTACGGCCGGCCTATGTTCAACACAATCAGTAGCAACAATCATATTGAACCCTTCACCACACCTTCAACCCAAGAACCTGAAAATACTAAAGTCTGAACAAAATCCTAGGCTGGTGACACGAAGCCTAAGACATCCCGAAGCCGAAGCCCTCGAAGTCAAACTCCGAAAGCTTCGACACAGTTCATCCGTGCTTGCGCTCCGACCGCGACCTGCAGAATTTGAAGCCTCAGTCATAAAGAAACCACAGAGGGTTTAAGGGTCTAGGGTTTAGGGTTCAGGGTTTGGGGATCAGGGTTTAAGGGTTTAGGGTTTAGGGCGCAGGCTTTAGGCCCAGCAGCATTGCGAATAAGCCCGGATTAAATCTAAGCCATAGATCCTCGAAGCTTGCACCCAGAATCGGCTTAGCCTCAACCGGACTGTGCAAGAGCCAAAACGGAAATTCTACATGACGCCAAAGATGTGTCATACAAGGTACATGTCAACCTTAGTTATGAGAAGTCTCCGGAGCAATTATGTTGATTCGTCATGTCAGCTATGGCCGCGTTAGTAAATATAGCAAGAGCCAAAATTATACCCTAAACCCTAACCCTAAACCCGAATAGCCAAAATCAATGGGTGCTTTGGAAGCCCTGCACAGGTCGTGAACAGGTTGTTGGCCCGGGAGAAGTGGGTCTCCCAGTTGGAGAAGCGGAATGATGGCACATGGGTGTGGGTGTGTATACATATATATATATGTGTGTGTGTATATATATATATATATATATATATATATATTCAGTATATGTGTATACATATATATATACACACACGTATGTACGATGTACCTATGTCGAAATATCTAACATCTAAATCTCTGTATGACTGAGTATCTAAATAACTAAGTGTAAATATGTATGCATACATGTATATATATATATATATATATATACACATGTACATATCGTTCTCTCTCTGTCTCTCTCTGCTCTCTCTCTCGCTCTCTCTCGCTCTGCGGTTGCATGGTGGATGTGTGTCCACTAGAGCGCAGTGTGGAAGGAAAGCGGGGGTTGAATTTGCTGTCGTCGGGCTCCCCTTCCCAGCACAATCATGACCTGCTTAAAACACCGTCGTATAGCAGCCGAACAGGAATTTGCTGGAGGTGCTTGGAGCCATGAAGTGTGCAGTGTGCAATGTCGGGACCCGCGGTGATCTGCAGCCTCTTATCGCACTTGGGCTGGGTCTCCAGAAGAAGGGCCACTTGGATGAGGATATCATGCCACGAATCGTGCTTAATGGTTCTGATGCCGACGCACTGCTGGTCATGACAAGGATTGAAGAAGGTGAAGATCATGATAATGGTTCATGATGATGATGATGTTGTTGATGGTGGTGTTGTTGGCGGTGATGGTGGTGATGGCGAGGAGGAATTTTGCTAAGCATGGCTAGCACGGCTATTACGATTGTACTGACTATGATGGCAGTGCTGAAGACGGCGGTCATGATGGTCATGGCAGTGGTAGCGACGACGATGATAATGGCGAGAACGATGATGAGCAGGCTGTCATGATGACCACCGCGATGCCGATGCCGATGTTACCTCAGCATCATGTTTACACTACGGCTGCTGCTGCAGCTCGCCACAACCAGAAGCAATGACAATGGTCACACTTGACAACAGCTGTATTCGGAATGATGGAATACATATGACGGAGATCTCGTAGAGCTTCCCAGCATCCCTTGATCAGTGACGGAGTGAAGTTTATTCAATTGGCAGTTAGGACGGAGGTTTCGGGCGCTAGGATTCAAGGGTTCGGTTGATGTTGAGGTTTAGAGATGTTTGTGGGAAGGGTTCACGGACTCAACATGACGGACAGCTGAAGAGTGAGATGCAAAAGAGGGGAAGCCCCACACATGCTTCTAGAGCTGCTGCAGAGCATCTCAAGCTGCTTTGACACTGTACTGTGACTGTCGTGCAGATCGTCTTGCTTGCAACGTGCATGATGCCTTATCAGAGGTTGGGAAGTCGTCGTCATTTCCGAAGAGCGCATCAGCACCTCAGCTGAACACGCAGACGCGGTACTTGGATGGAACAAGAAATGCAACAATTTCGTACAGAATTTCAGTACGTGCCCGCCGCCCCCGGAAAAAAGGGCCATGTTGTGTTTAGGTGCCTTTCGGTGCAGGCTTCGGGTCTAGCTGGGCCCATTTGGTTACAAGGGCATCTGCGAAGGCATCGGTCTGAACTCTGTAGGAGGCAGTTCCTGGTCTAGTACTCGCAGACGAAGCACATAGAGACTTGCGACATGCGGCGTGGCGTCGAGAGGGTCCAGCTTGATGTCAGGGATTATTCAGTCCGCAGCACTTCCGGGAAGGCCCTAAACACACGCCAAACCATCAGCCCAAAGCCGTGAATCCGAAACTCCAGAGCCTTACATCGTGCACCCGAAACCGTAAGCCACGAGTATAATGTAGGGGCCTCAATAAACAGCATACGGTTGTGGGGTGTATTGGACTATCTTTATAGTGAGGAGCCCGACAACCCTATTCCGCAACTCTGGACAGGGCCTTTGGTGGAGGAGTTTGCTTTGGAATTTCGAAGTATCGCTGGCGACTCCACCGGAATCATCTTTGAGCAGGATGGGGATTTATGGGGTTAATGGTTAACATAGAAGCCCAAACAAATTCCAATAGTCTTCCTCAGGGTTGCTTTTTCTAACTGTAATACTATAAAGGAGCCCAAAACCCTAGTCTGATTCTCAGGCCCAGTTCTTTAGGATTTAGAGTTTGGGGTTTACGGGTTGGGCTGGGGCTTCAGGCTGGAACTGTGTTTCGGATCATGTCGTTGCTTCTGCTATTTATCTATTTGTCTATCTATTTATGTATGCATCTGTCTACCTACCTACCTACCCGCCTACCCGCCTACCCGCCTTCCTGCCTGCCTGCCTTCCTAGCTCTTTATCTCTATCTGTAGCTGCCTACACGCGGGCTTTCTTAGGGTGTCTTAGGTGCTGTGTCACGCTCTGCTTTCAGTTCCTCTCGGGAGTTCGCTTGGGTCGGTCAAAGCCGCATCTCAGAGTTGAAGATCTGGTGTAAACGAGGTCTCGGATTCAGATCTTTTGAAATAACAACATTAATACTACTAGCAATAATGAGAATGATAATAATATTGTTATTGTTGTTGATTGATATGCGGCGCGGAGGTGTGAAGCACATGTTATCCTCAAATACGCCTCACCCATACTGGAGATCTGTGAGTGCCGGCTCCCTGCGCTGCTCGTCTTACAGGAGTATGCCGAGATGCTTGCCAAAGGCAAGCTGATGGCCATGATGCAGGAGACGCAGAAAAGGAAGGTGCGGAGTTCAAGAAAACAGCATGAGCAAGAGTCGTGGAAATAGTGATCAGAAACAGCAATGAGGAAGGGCGGGGGCATTCGCAAACGCCATCTTGCCCCCTGAGGCCACCTGGTACGAACAGTTCCTGACGGATCTCGTGGACAAGACGAAGGACAGGGTTCAAAGCTGAAAAGCATCCAAGCCCGTTACTACTGTAGTTATTCTTATCTCTGCTCTTAGTTGTAGAACTATTCGGGGTAGTAGTAGTAGTAGTAGTAGTAGTAGTAGTAGCAGCAGTAGTAGTAGTAGCAGCAGTAGTAGTAGTAGTAGTAGTAGTAGTTGGAACCCGTGTTTTTTTTTTGCTGTCGTTGCCTTTATGTTTTTTTGTTCTCGTTGCGCGGACCCAGGAAGCCGGTGAGTGAGTGAACCCCGGTGCCCGCACCGACAGCAAAAAAAAAACGCGCCCCCGCACCGACAGCAAAAAAAAAACGCGCCCCCGCAACGACAGCAAAACAAAAAACGCGCCCCGCACGACATCAAAAAAAACGCGCCCCCGCACCGACAAAAAAAACGCGCCCCGCAGGGACGCAAAAAAAAAAACCGCCCCGCAACGCAAAAAAAAAAACGCGCCCCCGCAACGACACAAAAAACAAACCGCCCCGCACCGACAGCAAAAAAAACGCGCCCCCGCACCGACAGCAAAAAAAAAACGCGCCCCGCAACGACAGCAAAAAAAAAAACGCGCCCCCACAAACAGCAAAAAAGAAAAACGCGCCCCGCAACGACAGCAAAAAAAAAACGCGCCCCCGCAACGACAGCAAAAAAAAAAAAAAAACGCGCCCCCGGGGACGACCGCCCTCGCAAACAACAGTATCGGGAACGACACAATATCTGGGCGTTTAAGTTGCTCATTTAAGGTTTCTATCAAGTGGTAGTAGTAGTAGTAGTAGTAGTAGTAGTAGTAGTAGTAGTAGTAGTAGTAGTAGTAGTAGTAGTAGTAGTAGTAGTAGTAGTAGTAGTAGTAGTAGTAGTAGTAGTAGTAGTAGTAGTAGTAGTAGTAGTACTAGTAGTACTAGTAGTACTAGTAGTACTAGTAGTACTAGTACTAGTAGTAGGGAGGGCGTACCCCCAACCCCCCCGCTGTTTTAAGCCGTCTGCAAGCTTGCGTGATCTTGCGTGACAGCATAGAGGTCGTTTCGGGGAACCCACCCTGCATAATATGATATGTGGGTTTTGGAAACAACATGAAACAACGCCATTCACCCTGCGAAAAAATTGTTTGCAAATGGGAAGCCTGTCCCGCACGTGCGAGAGTGCCAAGCTTGCTTGACAGCATATATATGCGTTTTATTTAAAACCAACCATGCGAGCATCCTGACTGGCTGCCCCCCTTTAACCCCGGCCCCCCCCCCCCCGCCCCGCCGCCCATATGATTTTGTTGTAAACCAGCCATGCGAGCATCGTGATTGCGAATGGAAGGGGCTGCGCCCCCCCCAACCCCCCCGCTGTTTTCAGCCGTGTGCAAGGTTACATGACGGCGTAGAAGTCGTTCTTGAAACCCGCGATCCGTGAGATGTGTTTTTTAGAATCCAATACCATTTTTTACCTTGTGACAAGGGTGTTTGCAATCGGGGAGCCTGCGCCGGGCATGCGAGAGTGGCACTTGGTTGACAGCACATATGCGTTTTTTGTCTCAGCCGACCACGCGACCATCATAGAATCGCAAATGTGGGGGGCTGCGCCCCCCTCCAACGCCCCCGCTGTTTAAACCAGCCATCGTGATTGAAAGTGGGGGGGGCTGCCCCCCCCCAACCCCCCCGCTGTTTTAAGCCTTGCGCAAGGTTGCATGACAGCCTGGGAGTCGTTCTTGAAACCCGCGATGCCTGAGATGAGTCGTTTAGAGACAAAACACCATTCACCTTGTGACAAGGGTGCTTGCAATTGGGAACCTGCGCCGGGCATGCGAGAGTGCGCACTTGCTTGACAGCACTGTTTCTTTTTTTGCTTTAACCGACCACGCGACCATCATAATTGCAAATGTGGGCGGGGGGGGGGGGCTGCCTCCCCCAACCCACCGCTGTTTCAAGCCGTCTGCAAGCTTGCGTGACAGCATAGGGGTCGTTGCTGAAACACACCCTGCATAATATGTGCGTTTTTGAAACAACGCCATTCACCTTGCGAAATATGTGTTTGCAAATGGGAAGCCTGCCCCGCACGTGCGAGAGTGCCAAGCTTGCATGACAGCATATATGCGTTTTGTTTAAAACCAAGCATGCGAGCATCCTGACTGGCTGCCCCCCTTTAACCCCGGCCCCCCCCCCCGCCCCGCCGCCCATATGATTTTGTTGTAAACCAGCCATGTGAGCATCGTGATTGCGAATGGGGCCCGCTGTTTTAAGCCGCGCGCAAGGTTGCATGACAGCCTATATAGGAGTCGTTCTTGAAACCCGCGATGCCTGAGATGAGTCTTTTAGAAACAAAACACCATTCAGACATCGAAATCAAATCAGCCAAAATTGTGCACGGCACCACATGGGGCGACACATTCAGCCGGCATCCTGTGTAAATAATAGGACGTGGGGGCCCAAATAAGAACAAAAAGAACCAAAAACAACAAAAACGGACCGAAATAAAACTCCACCCGTACTATAGTAGTAGTAGTAGTAGTAGTAGTAGTAGTAGTAGTAGTATCAGCAGGAGTAGTAGTGTAGTATAGGTAGGGCGATGTGGAGGTGAGCTGAGAAGACGTATCTTTCCTAGAAGGAATATATGGGTGGAATATGCCTTGATTCTGTCATACAGACATGTTTCCGACCGAATGCTTGTCTGTAGTATACGTATTCCGTCATCACTATTACGGAAGACATGCGTTTGAGGGGTGTGTAGTACGTGCGAAGCAAGAAACCCCGCCACGCGCAACAACACAACGGCGAAACAAAAGCAGTAGTTTTGCTTCGCATCGCTGTAAGGTCCAACCTTTCGATTCTCAACTGTCACCTGCTATGCAGTCAGTCGACGCGCCATGCAGGAGCCAAACAAGTAGTAGTAGTAGTAGTAGTAGCAGTAGTAGTAGTGGTAGTAGTAGTAGTAGTTGTAGTACGCCAGACACTCCGATGCTGCCGGCGAGCACACCGCAGTCACACAAGTCTGCTGGCTCTGGCCAGACAAGTGATCGGCCTTTCAATGCATTCTCAGCCCAGCATGTGACTCCGACGGCTGCCCCCACCGAGGAGACCGTCCCGCAGACCCCAGGCCCGGCTGACACCACATCATCCTCCCCTGTGGATGCCCCCTCTACGCGTGCAGAGGTCAAATACCAGGGACCGGTCACTACGACCAAGCTGGTGGAGTACAGTGTCAACCCCTCTCCAGAGCAAGAGGCAAATCAACTGCCAAAGCGAGATCAGATTATCCACATCTGCCAGTCTGACCAGATGCTGGAGTGGGTTCATGCCTTCGCGACCATTTCCATTATGAAGGAGCAGGCATAGTGGGTGGCCTCACGGCCTCCGAGCAGGTCTACCTCTGGACCAATCGGTTTCGGGCACTGGGCAAGGTGCCATGGATCTTCGCCCCGATCAAGAAGGTCGCCACCGACAAGGATGCCAACTGGCTTGACATCACGCAAGCGCGGCTTATGGTCGGGGCCAATGGCCAATTCACACTATCCATTGGCCAAGATGATCGCTACACCGAGCTCAAGTCCACCACGACCTACTATGGCATAGTGCACGCCCTCTTTCAGAAGATGTGGGATCATCCGGACATGAGCGCACTGCTCGAAACGGATGACAACTTCGAGATCGTGGCCTCCACCTTCAAGTGCATCTATGACCAGTCCTCCAGGAAGAGTGGTGGCCAAAATCGCGCCATCTTCTACCAGCCTCGGGATGGTCAAGTTGTCCGCAAGCTCCGTATCGAACACAACAAGGGCGACACGGCCACCTACCAATGGCATCGTCAACGCGAGCTACGTGAACAGCGTGAACAGCGTGACAAGCGCTCTGGTGAAGAGACACAGTCTCACACAGACAAGCGCTACAGGGACGGCGATGCCTGGACCCGAGGAGGGTGGTGGAATCGTGGCTCGGACTCGGGGGCCAGTGGCAGCCGCTCCTGGCACCAGTGAGCTCCAACTTTGATCACCGGTGCCAATGGCAACCTATGCAGTGCAATGCGGAGGCCATGCCTGCATTTCTACTTCGTTTCTTCCGAAACGGACTGACGGCCTTTCTGCTGATTGCCGCCGCTGTCAGAGAAAAACATGCCTCGCCTTCTGCCAGTCGCAGAACTGTGCCTCTGCTACTAGTGCTGCATAATCACTATCCTCGCTCAGGTACACACAACAATCTGAAGCTTGATACCTGGCAGCCTACCAACTTGCTTCGGCTGACCACTGCCAGTTAGCTGGAAGCCTGTAGGCCGCCAACACCCAAAGGTCTTCGACCTGGGCTGTTCAGCTATAGGGTCTGAGTCAGTTTCACACCATGTGAGTGCACCGCGGCAATCGCCCGCTATGTGCTGAGCCCGCTCGCACAGCGTTCAATTGAATTGAAAAATAGTAGTTGTAGTAGTAGTAGTAGTCGTAGTAGTTGTCGTAGCAGTAGTAGCAGCAGTAGTAGTAGTCGTAGTAGTAGTAGTAGTAGTAGTAGTAGTAGTAGTAGTAGTAGTGCTAGTAGTAGTAGTAGTAGTCGTCGTCGTCGTCGTCGTAGTAGTAGTAGTAGTAGTTGTTGTTGTAGTGGTAGTAGTAGTATAGTAATAGTATAGTAGTAGTAATAGCAATGATGATAATAAACAAGCGCCCGGGGAGCGCAACGACAGCGAAAAAACACCGCGCCCCGCAGGCACGACAGCCAAAAAAAAAACGCGCCCCGCAGGGACGACAACCAAAAAAAAAACGCTCCCCGCAGGGACGACAGCAAAGAAAAAACGCGCACCGCAGGGACGACAGCAAAAAAAACACGCGCCCCGCAGGGACGACAGCAAAAAAAAACACGCGCCCGCATGGACGACAGCAACAAAAAAAAAACGCGCCCCGCAGGGACGACAGCAAAAAAAAACGCGCCCCGCAGGGACGGCAGCAAAAAAAAAAAAACGCCCGCAGGGACGACAGCAAAAAAAAACGCGCCCCGCAGGGACGACAGCAAAAAAAAAAAAACCCGCCCCCGCCACAACAAAAAAAAAAAAAACGAGCCCCCGCAACGACAGCAAAAAAAAAACGCGCCCCGCCACGACAGCAAAAAAACAACGACAGCAAAAAAAAAACACTTTTACCTAGTAATTAGTAGTTATAGTCGTAATCGTAGTAGTAGTAGTAGTAGTAGTAGTAGCAGTAGTGTAATGGTATTGGCAGTGGTAGTTGTAGGTAGTCGCTGTCGTAGTCCTCGTCCTCGTCCTTGTCCTGGTCGCAATAGCAACAGTCTTAGCACTAGTCGTACTAGTAGTACTGTTTGTCGTACTAGTAGGTAGTACTACTTGAAGTACTGGCGTTTATCAAGCCGCCACATGAGCACAAACAGCAGCAGAGGCAGCCACAGCAACAGCCAGTATCTCCCGGAGATACGCTGCATGCAATGTTTCATGTCTTTTTCGCCTTGAGGACATTCAGATGATCATCTCAGGGCCGTTGGTTTACAGCGAGACCTATTGCACCGCTGCAGCACTGAAAGCTCGTAAAGGTTTTAGGTTTCTGCTCCTGTCGGAAGTACAATACACACGCAAGAATCACTATCTGTACCTGCCCGACAGACGATGGATGTCTTTGGTTTTCTTAGTTCCAACTAGACATGAGTTTGAGCCGAAGCTTCATCCAGCCCCTATAGATCCATGTTGGAAGTGGCCATAGCCTTTAGTCATTTCGGGATGCCCTAGCAACAGCTCTGTGCCTATCTTATTCAACCTATGCCTTTCACACTGAAGCCCGAGGGACGAATCGAAATGCTTTCGTTCGCTTGACAGAAGTACCTGCCTTGACCGCGTGCGCTCTTTCACGTGCAGATTTCGGGACGCAGCAGCCTTCAGAACAGCAAATCTCCCCACACTGGTTTGTTGCATAATTCTGAGAGGTGCTGACTTCCCACCGGACCGACTTCTCGGCATTGACGTGACTAATTACAGATAGTGTGGTTGTCAACACACATTGTCTTATGGCATGTTGGAACTAGCAGCTAGTAGCACCAGAAATAGCTAGACCTGATCTTTCCGATAATCTCCATGCTAGCTTGAGAATAAGACTAGCTGCAATTTCATTGGGATAACAAAGTAACAAGCCCATGTCTTTCATCACAGTGCATTACGTTGCATTGCCTACATGACATACATACATACATACATACATACTTACATACATACATACATACATGCATACACACTCATGCCTACACATACATACACACGTACATACATACATACGTACATACATACATACATACATACATACATACGCAGACTACTTACGTACTTGCATACACGCATGCATACATAAATCCATGCATACATACAACCATGCATGCACACACAAATACATTACATTACACTGCATTGCATTACCTGCATACTAATTATCATGCATGCATGCATGCATATGTACACACACACACGTACATTCATACACCATTACATACATGGATGCATACATGCATGTCATACATGCATGCATACATGCATGCATGCATACATGCATGCATACACACATGCACACACATACATACATACACACATACATACATACATACATACACACACACATTCATAGCTGCACACACATGCATGTACATACATACATACGTGCAGACATGCATGACCATGCATGCATGCAGAATACATACATACATGCATACATACATACATACATACACAAACATACACAAACATACACATATGTATATATATATATATATATATATATATATATACACGTACATCAACATACTTACACACATTCACATACATGCATACATGCATGCAGCCAACACGTGCAAACAATGCACCCAGCTAGATACAGAACCGTGTAGTTTGGGAAAGGGTAGTAGAAATCTGAAGAGCATTAGAAGCAAAGTAGTTTTGTCAAAGATGTGGAAAGTCCTTGGAGCCTCACACCCTGCATCGCTAGAGGCGTAGCAGAAAAGCTCGGCGTGCCGTGGATACCTGTCCTGCCGCTCGACGGAGAATCTGACACGGTTCGACGCTGTAAAGGGTATTGTGAAGCGCTTACAATAGCTGCATCTACGGTGAAAGGATCCGTTTGTTTGCTTCGTGGTTCCTCTGTGTGCTCTGCACAACAAGAACTAGTATGCCACTGCCACGGAAGGTTTGAAGCTTCTCAGAGCGTGAAGCTGAATTTCGAGCAAAGATGGGATGATAACAACGGTTAGATGGCGATGATTCCGTTGGCGGTGCTACGGAAAATGAGGCTTTATTTATGATATTCGTGATGCTGATGGAACAAGCGTACGGCTGCAGCTAATGTCATCTCTGTATTGATCTTCTTGTCCAGCCATGGCAATGCTCCTAAAACGCTGAGATTGAAATTCTGGATTGAGATCGCGGCCATGCATCACTCCAACCATCAACTCGTCGCAGACTCGTCTCACCACAGCTATCTAAGCTTAATTTCATGCCCATGACGATGGTCAGTCATGCTTTGCCGACTCTGTCTATGCAGCTACTATCGTCCGGATCATGTTTGTGTTGAGGTTTGGTCAGAACGCTGAACCATTCACTCGTTGAGTCAGGGTGGCTTTTGGAGACAGCAGTGTAGCATGGGTTCATAGTTCAGACTGGCCAGTGATGCTATTCCTGAGGGTTCCTCATTATGATTGTACTGTAGGAAAACCCCAAAACTGCCTACTGTAGTTATTAAGGCCATGGTAGTGGCGGTGGTGGCTGGTGGTCGTCGTGGGACTGAGGGTTCAGTTCTGAGATGCGTCTGGCTTTTCGTGTGCTTGGTTTATGCCCGCGGTTTGGACTATTGGGATTGAGGACTTCATTAGCTCACAATACAGAGGTCGGAACAATTACGAACGTCTCCCTTTACAGTTCCCTTGCACTCATACTATAAGTAGTCTATGCCCCAAACACTATTCTACTTCACAGGGTCACAGGGTCGCTATAATGACTGTGGCCACTACTACTTCCAGCGAGCCGAGGTACGGTCCTCTCTACCCCACTGCCGAGTTTCCGAATTCCTTCGTGATGGAGTCGAACTGGTTCGGTTGGCTCAACCTCTTTACGTGCTCCGGGTTTTCAGATATTATCGGGGAAGAATCGACAAAAGGGTTCCTTCAGGTTCCTGCCTGTAGTTGTAGGATAAATCTGCCCCACAGCCTTGTTCTGGTTGCCAAGCCACTATATTATGTGTCGAACCTTTTAAGCTGGAGCCAGGAAAACTCCGAACTTTATCAACCAACAGCAATCTCTGAACCCGAAGCCCGAAACCCGGCATCCAAGCCCGAAGCACTCCGAACAGAGCCTTGAGATGGGCTGCAGCTACCGGTGCTCCAGCTACACCCAGCTAGTACGAACGCAGGGCGACCGGAACTACAGCTGATAAAGCTGCTACCGGTACTGCACCACTACCACTACCACGAGTATTACTACGACGACGACCCACGCCGTTACTGCTTCTGCTGCTACTCCTGCCGCCGTGCGACTTGTACTGCTGCTCCATTTTGCTACTGCTAGCACCACTCGTTGCGATAGTTGTCGTGACGCAATATGTGCAACAGCAGCACCACGAAGTACATCCACTAGCCCAACGTGGGAAAGCCAATCAGATTGGATGTGCTAGAAGCCGCGAACAGGGCATTAGCTGCTAGCTGTATGTATCTACGCTCGCACTGGTAGGACGAACGACAGCATACAAAAATATGGCAAACAAGTCAGTGAGACTAGAACATTTAGCATCAGTGAATGTCCCTGAACCATAAGTTGCTTGGGTTTGAGGTACAACTTCCTATTCTGGGCCCTGTGGATGCAGGAGGGTGGTCAGATCAACCGCTTCCGAGCCGCTTTGATCCATGGAGGGCTCGCATACGGGATCAAATCATAATAGTAGCAATAACACTAAAAGTAAGAGTCGTAGGAATAATAGTAATAGTAGTAATAGTAGTAATAGTAATCATTTAGAGTTCAGAGGTTCAGGGGCAATACCTGAGACGGCTTGAGATTTAAGATGGAGGCTTCAACTTGAAGGTTTTTCCAACTGCCTTTGCCATCACTGCGATTGTGGTTATGGTTGAGGCAGTCTCACCATGACCTGTGACCTCACCCCCCCCCAAACCTTAAGCCTTTAGATCCCTAAACCTGTCGAACCCTACAGCCCTGAGTCGTATAGATCCCTGACAGGATGCCTCAAAGCAGCCCTCAAACCAACCCCTAAAGACACCCCTAACAAAACCCTTACAGATCCCTGAAAGGAAGCCTTAAAGGAATCCTTATACACACCCTTAAAGGAGCCGATTTAGAACTCCCTCCTTGGAGGTTCATGGGTAGTTACTTGTGGGGATATAAGTCCCTTAATATGGGTTATTTATTCTGTTACCCTACTCATAGCCCCCTTATAACTACCCATGAACCTCCAAGTAGGCCCTAAACCCTATACCCTTATAGAATCCCTATAGATCCCTTTAAAGGGACAATTTTATAAAACCCTACAGAGAGCTAAGCAAAGACGCTGGTCAACTCCCAGGAGAAGCTGGGGCTGTCACCGCTTCAGGTTCGCCGTGGGATGATGTCCTTGATCGAGGAGCAGCCCGGCTCTTGCAGGCTCTAGGGCTTTTGGTACAGTATAGTATAGTAGAGTATCGTACAGTATCGTGTATATAGCATATTGTAATCGAGTAAAGTAGTACAATATAAAGCAAAAGCGTACAGTAGGGTGGCGCATGAATAGTGAAGAGTATGGCGCATAGAGTTTGACAGTTTACTCTATAGTATCAGATCCAGACCCCATCTTGACTCTTGACCAAGGAAGAAGCTCCTGGTCATTGGTGGCTTCCACGAGGCACTGGGGAGGTGTTTCGAGGCTAGGGCGGGTTTCGTTTAGAGGCACATTGTCTGAGGGTTTGGGACCGCAGGTGCCCGCACTTCGAATTGAACGTTTACACGGTGATGGACTGAAGTACTGCAGTGACCCTGCGGAAACGGCAAGCCGGTGTAGACCTCGGGAACTCCTAGCTCCAGGTCCTAAAAGCTCCAACCCTAAAGCCTAAGCCCTAATCAGGCTTGCTTGTCGAGATGCATGTTCGATTTTCGATTTCTGGTGGCGCCCTGGTACCTTGCGAATTAGGACTTGCGGGTTCAGGTGTTGGGTTTTGAGTTCGAGGACTAGCTCTGGTTTAGAATCTACAGGGTTGAAGGCCGTAAGTCGGGCTTCCACAGGTTGTGGTTCTTTCTTTCCCCTCTGGAGACCTTCGACCGCTTTGAACCCGAAGCTGTGTAACCCTCACAGCGAAGAGCCTTAAATCGCACGCACGGTCTTTCAAGAAAAGGTCACCCCTGTAGCACCGCAGCCCGGAGGTCCTCACACCTCCGTTTCTGGGACCCCCTTCTTGGGAGGGTCGGGGGACTTAGTAGCTGGGTATTTTGGGGACTCATAAGTATCATAGCCCCAATTAGGGTCCCTTTTAGGGTACTTATAAGTCTACCTGCTACCTACTTACTAAGTCCCCCACTCTCCAAGTTGGCAGGTGATCATCCCACAGCCCAAAGCGCCGGCTGACTGGCCAGAGTCCTTCTTCTTCCCGAATGCCTCTGGGAACTTCTGGTGCTTTTTCAGTGGGAGAGGGGCTCATCGCTTCGTCAGCGGTCGTGTACATCTGCTTCGTGGTGGAGGGACGAGGATCAGAATGGTTGCTACATGCATCCGATGCATCGAGGGTTATACTCTGCATCAGCATGTGAAGCGCGTGGGTGCTGAGTTCCTGGACTACCGATCCTGCAATCCTCAACCCGGTGCGCGAAGCGTACACCGCTCAGGGCCCACAGCCTCAAGGCCTCAAGCTTCGGGTCGCGCAAGAACCCCAAGCCCTCGACAACCTCAGCTCGAGAGAGAGCCCAAAAACCCCGAAGTTGGAAGATCTCGCTGAGTTCTTCTTCGTCCCCGACACGCCAGCTGATGCCGTGCCAAGCTCGCTGAAGTCCTTTCTGGAGAAAGCTGGATCCAGGACGGGTGCGGCAAGTTCTGCATAGACATCATATCGTTGTGAACTCTTTAGGGCATTTCGGCTGCTTCTTGTTCTTGTTGTTGCTTTGGATGCTGTTGCTGTTGCGTCGTGGTGGTTGTTGTTGCTGGGGTTCTTGGTGTTGTTGTTGGGCATGCTCACATGTCTTGGAGTTCGAACCGTTACGAGGCTTTGCGGTTTCATCGGAGATTCGCCGCAGAAAAAGGAACCTCTGGCAGGACCGCACCCGGCGAAATCTCTCGCCTTGCCTGAAAGCCAGCAGCAAAGAACTCTCTATTCAACAAGGCCTCAAGCCCCAAGCTGTCCTGCAGAACCTGAGATCCCACTACCTAGTCTTATTCTTGTGCTTGGAGGTTCAGGGGTAGTAATAAGTGGGGTGTTATAAGTCCCCTAATATGGGTTATAATTATCGTAACCCCACTTATAACTGCCCATGAGCCTCCAGGTCGTCACATCCCCCACACTTTGTCGTATCAACAAGCAGAGCCCCCAAAGTCGCACTAGGCCGGTCGTGTACCTGGGGCTGGGCTCCATGCCTGCCCCAAGGCCGGGAGAGTGGGGGGCTGTAGGGGTTCTAGGGGGCTGTAGGGGTTCTATAGGGGTTTTAGAGGGTTCCTTTAAAGGGATCTTTCAGGGCTCCTTTAAGGGTTCCTATGAGGGATCTGTAGGGTTGAGGGTTTGGGGGTGGCTGGGTTTTAGAGCTGCTTCGGGTTCAGAGTTATGGGGTTTGGGTGCCGTGATGTCTTCAGCAGGCAAAGTTGAATATCATCGAGAAGGGAGAGCGTGTTCCAGCGGGTTTCCACGTCTGTTGGGCTTAAGGGAAACCCAATTTCCGAAGCCCACTGCCCTGTAGCAACCTGTAGGACTGTTGGGTTGGCCTGAGGATGGACTTGGAGTATCCGAGCAGCCTCTTAAACATACTCTAAACCCTAAGCGCTACATGCCGAACCCTGAAGTAACCAATCGCGGAGGCCGCAGGAGCTGGTTTCCCTGGCGGAGGCCATCGTCGAGAAGCTGGAGGCAGAATCCTTCGACGTCCTATTCCAAAGTTCTGGGCTCAAGGTTGAGGGGTTGTACGGCTGGGGCCGTGGACTCTAGGGTTAGAGGGTTCGGCATTTTGATCTCGGCCTGTGAGGTACGGCAAGTGTTTGAGATTTGCCACTTGGCCGGTTCAAATGGTGTCGGTGTTTAGGTACTTCTTCTGGTCTTGCGGTGCTCATTTCGTACTCGCGGCCCGAGCTTTCTTGGCCCACACGAGTTCATTGCTGTCGGTTCGGGAAACGACAATGGACCACTCGGCACGATCGGGAGTTTCCGAACATTAGGGGTACCTTATGTTGGGGTCCTTATACCTTATTTTGGGGTACTTGTAATAAGGATCCCCTACTATTTAGGGCCACTATATTAGGGTCCACTATTTTAGGAAACTCCCGTCTGTTTTGCGCCTAAATAATGACCTATACTGTTTTGGGGCTTTTGGAGGGCTCCTTATTATGATTATAGTATAATAGGCCCCAAAAGCCTATCCTACCCTTGTATTACAGTTGTTGGTGCAGTTGTGCCGCTTCTGCAAACGCTGCAGCGATCCGCAACGCCGTTTGCATAGAATCGTTCCCTCGAAGCCTGCGTGTTCGAGCCTCTGTGTGTCTTGGTATCTTAAGTAGGTATTCTGTAGTATATATTTTGCATACCTGACGATGTGCCCGGCCCCTCCCCCAGCTTGTGAAAAGTACAAAATTCAAAAGCTTCATGAGTTTCGCAATTCACTTCATTTATATACTACCACCGCTTGGAGGTTCATGGGTAAGTGGGTCCCCCAATATGTTTTATGGCTGTAGTCAGCATGTTTTTCACTTATAACCCCGCTTATGAACATCCAGCTTCTTGTTGAAGGCAGGTGTCCTTGCCGTAGAAGATACCCCGAAACCCTATCCATCCTGATGTGAAGCCCTTGTAGCAACCCTTGTATAACCGGCGCCGTTAAAGGAACCCTTTGAAGGAACCCTTGAAGGAGCCCCTCTAACGGAACCCTTTAAAAAGGAGCCCTTTAAAGAAGCCCTTTAAAAGGAAGCCTAAAAACGGAACCCTTTAAAAAGGAGCCCTTTAAAAGGAACCCTAAAAACGGAACCCTACTCTTCGCTCGACTCGTGACTTCGGAGGTCTCGGCAGTTCTTTGTGCGGGCTGGTCTGACATTTCCTTCAAGTCCCAGGACCTAAAACGTTGACCCTGATAGTTTGGGGGTTCCTTATTATAACTATAGTATAATGGGCCCAAAACCTAATTTGGTTTCTGAGGCCCCGAAATAATCCTGAATCTCCGAACCCGAAAACTCTGGGATATGTTTTGATCACACTTCGAAACCTCCAAGCTCTGGTCGAAACCTGTGCCTCCACTAGCTTCACCAACTCCAGATGCGAGCTCGGAAATCAGGGGTACCTGATTCAGGGGTCCTTAGGATAAGCATCTTATCCTCTCCTTTGGGGTTCTTTTTTGAGGGTCTGAAAGTAGTCGTAGTAGTAGTAGTAGTAGCAGCTCATGAGTATTATCATCATTTCATTATTCTTGTGCAAGCACCATTACCTGCCCGCCAGCCTTGACCACGCAAACTCAACTTGCAACCTTTGTTACAAACGCCTGCCACAGAATCAGACATGAAAGGAGGTTCGGGTTTAGGGCTTTTGGACAAGTCTTCTGTTTAACTCGAACCGTCTCAGCCACGAGTCTTAGTTGCTCTTTGCAAAACCATGGTGGTGTGATATAGAGGGTCCTTGATATATGATACAGGGTATTGGAGCATGCTATACTACGACTACAAGAAGGAACCCTAAGGAATAGTAACTACTGCTACTGTAACTACAACAACAACTACTACTACTACTACTACTGCTGCTACTGCTACTGCTACTGCTACTGCTACTGCTACTGCTACTGCTACTGCTACTCCTACTACTACTACTACTACTACTACTACTACTACTACTACTACTACTACTACTACTGCTACTGCTACTACTACCCGTTTTGCGTGTATTTGACGCCATGCTTTTCCTGCTTTTGGGACATCTGCGACTTGGTTTCAGGGCCTAGATATACTGGTATTTACAGCATTTCCGTGGTTATTCGTTTTTATCTCTTTAAAGAAGGACCATGCAGACCCGAGCGCCAGAACGACCTAAAGTACAGTCATCATCATCATCATACTCATCAACATCATCATACTCAGGGCCTAGATATACTGGTATTTACAGCATTTCCGTGGTTATTCGTTTTTATCTCTTTAAAGAAGGACCATGCAGACCCGAGCGCCAGAACGACCTAAAATACAGTCATCATCATCATCATACTCATCAACATCATCTTACTCATCAACATCATCATTGACCTGGGGGGGGGGGGGTGGGGGGGGGGCTAATCGCGAGCATGTTTGACATCATCATCATAACAGTAACATTCAAAACCGTCAAATTCATTGTCGCCATCAACATCATCATCACGGTGATAGACAATATCATCATACTCATCAACATCATCATACTCAGGGCCTAGATATACTGGTATTTACAGCATTTCCGTGGTTATTCGTTTTTATCTCTTTAAAGAAGGACCATGCAGACCCGAGCGCCAGAACGACCTAAAATACAGTCATCATCATCATCATACTCATCAACATCATCTTACTCATCAACATCATCATTGACCTGGGGGTGGGGGGGGGGGCTAATCGCGAGCATGTTTGACATCATCATGGCATGACTTTCACTTGAGCCGATAAAACCCACGATCCAGGGCGCTCGGCTCACAACGACATGCGCATGCGGAAATGACGTCCCTGCCGTGTGTTTCGGACATGCATGCACCAAAAAACACAGCGTCAAATACACGCAAAGCGCGTACTACTACTACTACTACTAGTACTACTAGTACTACTAGTACTACTAGTACTACTAGTACTACTAGTACTACTAGTACTACTATTACTACGACTACGACTACGACTACGACTACGACGACTGCTACGACTAAATCTATTTGCGTAGAAACTCCATACGGGGCATGCTGGGTCTGACATGCCCTCAGCTGCTAGCCCCCTGAGAGAGGATACGGAGCAGCGGATTCTCGTCACGAAGTCGGCCCCGCACGACTTCCTGCTGCCACGCTGCCGTGTGCTGCTGCATCACGCCGGCGCAGGCACCTGCGCCGCTGCCCTCCGTGCGGGAGTGCCCAGCGTGCAGCCTGCCATTGAAGAGACTACGAGCTTTCCGAGCAGGAGACCCCAAAGGTTGCTGATAGCCATCAGGTTTCGGAAGTACCTGTACTCGAAGAAAGGCCGAGTTGAATTCAGACACTTCAATGCTGGGCCACAATTCTCTTCTGTATCTGTGTATGCATGCATGATATAGGTGACATGTATGCATTTGTGCATACATATCTACATACATACACATGTTCTACATTTGCTTCAGCCGGTGAGCGTAGGGTTTAGAGTTTACAGGTTCCTGCAGGGTCTCAGCAATGCTGTGCTTGATTGTGTTGCAATGCATTGCTTTGCGATGCGTGTCATTAGTTTGTGTGTAGGTCAAGAAGCAGCAGTAATGACGATGGATTCTTCGTCCTGACAATGCTAACCGTAGCAGAAGTTTGTCACTGTCATAGTGTTTGCAATCGCGATTTTCATGGCAAGAGTAAATGAACCATCATTAGTAAAAGTCTTGAACGAACCAAGAACCGTGTTTGTGATAGTTGTTTTTGCTTGCTGCCCTTGTGCGCACCATGCTGACCATGATTCTTAATCATGACTGCGACTTAGGTCACGATTGTATGCGTGAGTAGACTCTTAGTTTTTGGTAGCTAGTAATAGGTTATGATTATGAGTCAGTCTGATGAAATCTTTGTGCGCTTCCACCTTCATCTGATAAATCTTCCGAAGTTGATATTTGATACCCTATTTGACACGCTAGTGTAGGAGTGAGTCCACTTCGGGGCACTGAGCTCTGAGGTGCCTGCCTGTGATGCTTGATCAGCCCAACAATGCCAAGAACCTCACTCGCCTGGGTGTGGCTACACCGCCGATTCTTTTCCAAGATGTGGCAGCTGGCGTGGACCGCGTGGTGGAGTCGGTGGGACATTTAGGGTTTTTTAGCTCTTTGGTGCTCAGTGGCTTTCGGTCCCAGAAATGTACTTTTTTTAACTTGTAGTTTTGTATGACTGGGTCCGATTCACCACCCTCACGACTTTCCGGAACGAGAAACACCAGGCTGCCCCCAAAGTTGCGTGCATAAAGTGCCTCCCTGCTTTGCTAGCAAGTATAGTGTAAGCACATCGCCGTCGTCGTCCTCGTACCCGCCGTCGTCCTCGTTCGTCGTAAAAATAGTAGCAATCGTCGTCGCAGTACTCGCAGTAGTCGTAATAGTCGTAATATTCGTAACCGTCGTAGTAGGTACAGAGTAGTGGTGGTAGCATCAGCAGTAGCCGTAGCCGTGGCCGCAGCCGTAGCTGTGGCCGCAGCCGTAGCCGTAGCCATAGCCATAGCACGAAGGGTTCCAGGGGTTCCTAAAAGGGTTCCTATTCGGGTTCCTTCAAGGGTTCCTGTAAGGGCGCCTGTAGCCGAATGCTTGTGAAGAAATTTGAATAGTATACAATAATCATAGTCGCAATAAAAGTAATGAGCGTAACAATAGGAAGGAGGGCGGAGCGGTTTAGAGTCTAGGACTTTGGGTTGTTCATGCGACATTTGCAAGTGGCAGAAAGCAGCATAACTATTTTAACTTCAACGTTGTTGAATGCGGTTGCTGTGCTTTTTCTGAACACCCATGTCTGGTTGCGATGTATCACTCTCAAGTCTAGAGGGCATTGAACGGCATTGACGAGACCGAAGACGGCACTGATCGCGTTCTTGAAGCTATGCACACCCACAGCAAACACCAGCTGCCGGACGATGCCACGGCGCCTATGTGGGTCGTCCACGTGAAACTTCGTCAACAGTCGGAATCGTTTTTATGTCTGTTTGGAATGTGTGTCCTAAGTCGTAATATTTAATATTTCGAAAAGGGAACGCCTAAACCCTAGCAAGGCCCGAAAAGACCTACTTGTTCAGGGTTCCTGATTATGCCTTCTATCTATAACTAATTAAGAAGAGGTAGATCTTTTGGGCCACAGGTAAACCCTCGACCAGACCCCTAAAGAGGCTCCTCTTTGCTTCCGTTACAAGTGGCGTGGACCTAGGAAAGATTTGCTCAAGATGCAGGGGAGGCCCGAACCTCATCAGGCGTTGAAGAAGGCCGGGCCTTCGAGGACTCCTTCTTAGGGTCTTACGGCTTAGGGTTTCGAAGAAGAAAAATCCTTTTACAGTACGGGTAAGGCTATATCAAACCCAGAAGCCTTGTATACTGCCAGGAATGCATTCAACGGTAGTTTGGAGTCTCGGAAGGTTGGAATCGTCAAGCAGTGGCTGGCTGACTTCAAGGTGCTCTTCGTGTCTCATCAGTGGCAGAGTTTCGCACACCCCGATCCTGAAGGGAAGCAGCCAGGTAGAATGAGACTCCGTTTAGGGTTTAGGGGTTAGGCTATATTGAGGTACCTATTCACAAGTACTTTTTGAGGACCCCAAAGCTACAACCCAGGCAGCTGCGGGTGCTGCAGGAAGCCCTGTTGAACATCATCAACTCGCGAGTCACGGTGGAATTCGAATTCGTGGCGCAATTCGAAGGCAGGTTCCGATCGGTGTCAGCAAAAGAAGGGAAGGAGCTGGAGAGCTCATACATTTGGTTCGATTGGTTTTCAGTGCCACAAACAGAAGATGTGCCTTCTTCGCAAATTGAAGAAGTGCGATCCCTCCAGATGAGACACATCTTGTCCATTCCGCGCTACGTGCAGTGTTCTCAAATGTTCATGGCGCTGGTCCCCCCGCTCCTGCACTTGGAAACGGGAGTCGCATGCGACTACCATAGCTGGCTGGGTCGAGGGTGGTGCAGGACCGCAACTAGGCTGTTCAGTGGTATCCTTTTTGTGTTTTGGTGTCTGGGTTCTCATTATCCTACAGAATTATAACTAGACCAAGGAAACATCTACTTTTTTCCCGCTGGCTTACTCAACAGCCTAGGAAATGTGGTGCAAGCTCCTCGACCCGGAGCCCTCCATGCCCATCATGGTCGCCTTCTCGGCCGAGAAGGTGGACTTCGTCGGTTCTTTGAGCTGGCTTCGGTCGCCTGTGCACGAAGGCAACTTTGCGGTGGAGTCTGATCGAAAAGTTTGCAGCCAAGTCGTGCGGACCGCCATGGATACTTACCTTGCCCATCTCCGTGACAGCGACACGGAAGGCAATCTTTTCCGCTACTTCGCCGGCAGGTACGAAGACCTCTCAGGGTTGCCCCGCCGAGCCAGGAGCTTGGAGGACTTTCTCGAGGCTTTCCGCTTCCCTTCCTTGGATGTCGCCCTGAAGCAGGAGGAGGGCATTGGAGCAGTGGCATGTGCAGCGATGGCTGGGGACGTCGAGCTGCTACGGCGGCTCGTCGAGATGAAGGCCTCTTTGGACACCAGGCTTCAAGGCCGGAGGAACTGCCCCGAGTGGGATTGCACGAGGACACGTAACGGTTAAACAAAAATTAGCGGTAGCGTCCCTTTTGGGTCCTTGTGCCGAGTGCTGTGCGGGGGAAACTTGATTACAATGCTGATGTCAGTGCGGGACAGTTAAGATTCCGGGGAACTGCTAATATAACCCGTGCAGACAAAAAAGGGCGGAGCATCCTAAAAAAAAATTCACATGGCCAGGCCTTTGGGAAGTTGCCTTCCCGCATGGAACAACTCCGGTGATGATTGCGGCCACTTGCGGGCAGTGGGGCCATGCAGCCTTGGCGGAGATGCTGAACCTGAAGGCGGATCCCAACAGCCATTGCAGCTCTGGAGGGGCAGCTGTGTGCTTTTGCACATCTCCGGAAGGAGTGGAGTTGCTGGTGAGCCACGGTGCAGATGTCAATCTGCGAGCACTACCTGCAAAGTGCTCCGGACTTTGCGGCCAGCTGATCCGTGGTGGAAACCTGAAGACGTGTGCCAAGTTGCTTGAGCTCCGTGCGGATTTGGGTGACTACGAGGGGGGACTTGGTCAAACACCTCTTCAGTATCTTCTTTTCGCATATTCCGACCTCCCCGAAGGCTTGGAGACTGCAAAGATGCTTGTGGAGGCGCGGGCGGATGTCAACCAGCGCGGAAGGTGCAGTGGAATCTTTCGACCTCTAGTACTCGCCTGCCGTGCCACCAAGCTGGCCAAAGGGAGTCCGGCTCCGCTGGTTTCCTACTTGACGGAGATGGGCTGCACAGCGTTTGGCACCGCCTGCTACCCACCTCTAGCAATCGCCTGCCGTGCCACGCTGGCCAACAAGAGTCCTTCTCTCCTGGTGTCCTACCTTGCAGAGATGAGCACCACAGCGCTGGGCACCGCCTGCCACTTCGGCAATCCGGAGATGGTTCAGCTCCTACTGGAAGCACGCGCTGACCCTGGCGTTCGCAATGACCGCGGCCGCCCAGCGTATGCTCTTGCCCGGCATGAAAGTGTGCAGGCAGGGGGTGGACTTGTCGAAAAATGGGGTTCAGGGTTGATCAGAGGAGGCACCTTTCTGTAGAGGGGTTCCGAAGGGTTTAGGGCTTCGGGTTTAGGGTCCCTGGAGCCCTGTACCCAGGAAGTTCTCCGAGGATTCTCTCGGAGTGGCACAGCCGAGCACAGGGAGGCAGAGGAAACTGCTGAAAAACCAGCGCCGGTGATCGACGTCGAAGAGGATTCGCTGATCGAGATGGCTTTCTAGGCGTGTTTTTATAGTGTTTTTACCCGTTTCTCCCAGAGCCGTCTGGCACATGACAAATTTGTGCCGAAGAGTAACTGATAGTTCTGGCATTCGGGTAAGTCTTTTTTCCAAGCATGTCAGCCTCTTATGTCAGAGGCATGTGCAGTTGAGCATCATGCTTTTTTCTGTGCAGGAAAACCCTTGCGACTCTCAAACCTTGCGACTCTCAACATCGCACTGAAAAAAGTTTCAGAGTCATGGGCCCCAAATGGACGAGGTTTCTGTCTCAGAGACCCAGAGACTCTCTCACTGCGTCCAACTCGCACACCCGGACTGTAGTAATCTTCAACTCCAAAAGAGGGTATTCGTGAGCCCTAACACTCGCCTAGGACCGAGAGCCCAAAGCCCTAAAATCGCTCAAAACGAGCAGGTGAAGACAGCTCTGGAGTCCTCTGAGATGCGCGCAAAGGCGGAGGCAATTGCAGGCCCCACGGTTTCGAGCTGTGCTTGCTGCGGATCATGTCGGGAAAGGTTCTGGCTCAGGTAGTTTTAGGTTCTCTCAGGTGGCTTTCGAGCACAAGAAGCGAGATCCGTACATGTCCACGCCCCCAAAAACTCCTGAACACCAAGCGAAACCTGAAGCCTAAACCCCCTGAAGAAGCATAGCCTTGTACACCTCCCTGAGCCCCCAGACCCTGAGGCCCTAGACCCCGTCGAACCCTGAAGCCCAAGCTTTGTGTCCTCATGGAATCCTTATTACAGAAAGCTCATAGAACCCCTTGCAGAAACCTTCTAAACAGCCTATATCGAATCCTTTGAGAACCCTCCATGACCCGAAAAGAACCCTATAAAGAACTCTATATAGATCCCACTACAGAACTCTATATAGAACCATGACATTGTCTAGCGCCTTCCAAAGCCCAAGCGAGCAGAGGCCGCATTCGAGAGAGCGACGGCGTCTCGAGCGCCATCGAACGGATCCTTCAGGTCTACCCGGAGGGCCGACTCCCCTGAAAGACCTGAAGATTCCGTTTACTAACTACATAAGAAGACAAGTTCTGGCATCAATATTAAGAATAATGCAGTTGGGTTTAGAGATGTTCAGGGTGTTTCGGGTTAATGGGTACGTAGCGCAAGGTAAGCGGGGTAAGGGTTTAGAGTTAGCGGTTCAGGGTAGGGTTGCAACTGCTTGCCTCAAGCTACAGGGGAGTCGAGCAGCCGGGTTTCACAGTTTTAAGTCGTAGGGTTAAGTTTAGGGATTATTGAACTTCTGGCGTACCGTCGCTGAAGTTGACAAAAAGCTGCGTCACCGGGTGACTTGCTTGCACGGGTGCAAAGCTGCACGGGAGAGCCCCAGTGTCACACCACCCCAAGGCCAAACCGTACGCCCTAATACCGAACCGTACCCGCGCGCCCAAAGCCTGGACCAATGTCCGGATTGTTGAAGGCATTACGTGGACGAAGTCGAGGTTCGAGGGAAAGCGTTTTAATATGCTTCAGACAGTAGCCTTCATCCTAAGGCATGCCACGAGACTACCGAACAGTTTAGCTCCGACGAACCATGCCAGCGTAGCTAATGAAACCGCCAAGACACGTGACCAGCTTCAGGACTTGCGAATTATAAATTATACTCATGATGTGAGAACGAGGATTGAGAGTCTCTTTGTGAGTTGCCCCTACATGGTCCGATATGATACGGTGACCATCACACTTACGGCGCTGGAGACGACGATGACGGATGAGGATGGGGGTCAGAGTGAGGATGAGGATGGCAACGACGATTATTATGCTGATATGCCTGCTGATGGCTGTTAGTGATGCCGCTGCTGCTGATGATGTTGCCCGTGATGACATCTATGAACATGTTAAGTACAAGAGTCATTGCCACTGTTGGCGCCAGTGCTATCGCTGAGCTTCAAAGGGGATGTTTGGGGTCAGAGGTTTCGGAGTGCAAAGGCCCATCCCCTTCGATTTCCTGGTGGAGGGGGAGTTCCTGCGCTCCAGCATCTCCAGCTACCTGGAGGAGGGGGATGCTTTGCACATCCTTGGTCTAGCATTTCTTGACAGGGTGTAGGAAGACACCGAACCGTGACTTATAGAACAGAATCCTAGAACGGACCAGAGCTTTGCACACTTTTTGGATTTGATTGCAACCCAGCCAATCGAAATCAGATGGAAAGGGCTTTTCCCGTTGCGATGACCAGCAACCGTTGGCAGGCTGAGGAGGCTTAAGGCGGGCCTCAACAGCAGGACAGACACCTCACGGTTTTGTTACTCGAAGATTTGGAATGACAAGGACCTGGTAAAGGGGACCGTAATGTTGAACAGCCGGAATTCCGGAAGGCTTTCCTTGTAAGAGTTAGGTTGTTTACGGGGATGTCGAACCATGTACATGCTGGACGCAGCCTTCGATGTGGATTCCTCTGCCAATATTACGGCGAAACTCGAACACTGCATCCCAACCTCTCAACTTGTACCCTTTTCAAAACCTTAAGAGAATAAATACCAACACCTCAGCAGCCGCGAAATGAAGTAGTTGCACTCTCAACCGACTGCTGCAGCTGTAGGCGCACAAGCTGTCCTCCGAGAAAGTGCTGAAGCTGGAGTTTGTGCCAGGGCCCCCGATCTTGTTTTGCAGCTTTCCCTTTCGGGTATTTAATTACTTCATAATTGGAGAAGCAGCGTCTTGTTGCAAGGATATCTTGCTTACATGGTTTCCAACTTTCGTGACAACGGCTCATTTTGTACCTCTGCAGCTCTGTGCTTGCTGTGGTTCGATGCGACATGCCCCTAAACCCAGACCCGCTAACATGCGGGGAGAAGCTGGAGCTGCAGACTTCTGAGTAGTCGCCTCAGTGGTGCAGCAGGCACAGACTGCCAAAAGTCACGGTGGATGGGGATGGCTCTTTTTGAAAGGCAGAGCACTCCCCCGACAGCAGTGCAACAGCTAATATGGTGGTCTGAATAAATTACTCTATCTCTGTTTCATCATAGTGTGGTATCCCATGTTAGACTCAAGGTTTTTTTTGCGAAGCATCAACGGCCACAAACACATGGCTGCAAAGGGGACTTAGAGGGAAACGCATACTTCGAGGCCCAGGGGACTTAGTAAGTCAGTTATAAGTATGGTTTTAGTTGGGGTAGCTCCACTTAGGGTACTTCTAACTCCACTTATGACCTACTTACTAGGTCCCCTGGACCGCTAAGTAGAAGGCGAGAGGCCGGGTCATCAGCCGAGCCCTTCACCTTCAAACTGAGCTCGCACACTCTCTTCGTCTTGTTAATCTTGCTCTTGCTGCTTATTGACTGTTCTAGTCTCGAATATGTTAGTAATGTTATTCCATTAGTGTCTCTATACAAATATACGAAGACAAACCCCCAAATTGATTCTATGACTCAGTGAAGATGCCGCTTTTGCTGCCTCAGGCTCGCACTGCGCGAGCCGGAGCAGTCGACTGTCGACGAGGCGCTCAGCACCGACATGAAATGAATTCCTAGATCCCCAATGCCCAACTGTAGACTTTTTGGGTTCTTATTGTTGAGTAGGAGCCGGAAAGTTTAACCTTTTATTTCAGTGGCTTGTTGGGGAAGTAAGTATTTGTTGGCAGTATCATTACTGTCATACTGTAGAATGTGACTATTATCGTTGTTAGTAGTTGACTGTGACTAGTGTGCAGGTCATGCAGATGATGATTATGAAGATCATCATGTTTATGACGTATATGATAACCTTGACAACTATGACGATTTTGAAGTTTACGACGATGTTGATGGCATTGTAGTAGTAGTAGTAGTAGTAGTAGTAGTAGTAGTAGTAGTCGTCGTCGTCGTTGTAGTAGTAGCAGTAGCAGCAGCAGCAGCAGTAATCGTACCGGTACCACCATAGGATTGTTATTCACAACGTGGCATAAACAAAGATGCTACAGGTCACCGTATGGAGTTTTGCGCTCAGTGGTCAGTATGATTCCCGCAACTTGCCCCTACCGTAAGTCTGGCTATTAGTGATGCATGTATGTCGTTACTGCTGCTGTTGCTGAGTACTGGTTGTCTGGCGATCTGTTAGACATTGGAGCGGTGCTTGCTTTCATGGCCGTTCAGCTTTGCAACTGTCGCTCTGATGAGTGTTGCATTCTTCTTAGTACAGCCGCTTGAATCGCATGCTTTCTGTCATCAGGATTAGTACCGCATTGTCTTGCTAGTGGTGATGAGCTTCTGTCGCTTATTGACCAGGGTCTGTTTCACACTTATCTGGAGTGTCCAAGGCAGGCAACATCACACCTGGGAGCGGACTCTAGAGCTTCCTGTCTCTTTCGATTCGCTGGTTGCACCGATCGTGATGCCAGTTGTACTTGTTCAACTTGTTCTTTCTGTCGTCTACTGCACTATGATGAAAGGTGTCTCAAGACCCCGCCAAATCATCGAGTCCGGCTTAATACCCACACAAGACATGGCTTTTCCTGCAGGCAACACTTCAGCGTGTTTCGTGAATACCACGAAGGTAAACCACGTTATATCATATTATGCAGCTTGAGTTTGTAACCATGTCATAAAGGCTTACTGAAGCTCCTAGCCCGAAACCTCAGCCGTAAATCCTTGTTGCACCCTTATCCCTAATAGAAGCCTTCTAAAAGGAAGCCGAACAAACACACTTCCCCGGCTCGCCAGACCCCTGACTGGATCGCATCAGTGGTAGCACTGCAGGCCTGCGGCTGCTTGAAGAACTGGGGTTTGGGGTTCGGGGTCTCCAGGGGTTTGTTTTTTGGAGTACATAGAGACAGAGGTTGGGTACCTGCAGTCTCAGATGGCTTGCAGAGCCTGGACCATGGACTCAACTCCGCGAATGTATGCGAACCTGCAGGCCCCAAAGAATCCCCCAAAAGCTCACAGAATTCCATGCGCAACACATTTTGTCGTAGAGGTTCAGAGAATCACGGTCACAGACAACGCATACCTTCAAATAATTGGAAGCACGGATAATAACAGTGAGAACGGTAAACAGAGACGAGGGATCATGATCACAA